GTTATCAAGTCTACAAGTACTTTGATGGAGCTTTGGGGTCCTCTGTGTAGAGTATCATGTGATCCACAAATAATGATAATTTAACTTCTTCCTTTCCTATCCTTACTCCTTGTCTTTCTCTTGTCTAATTGGCCTGGCTAATATTTCCAGAACTATATTGAATAGCAGTGGTGATAGTGAATGTCCTTGTCTTGTTCCTGATTTTAGGGTGAAAGCTTTCATTTTCTGACCATTTAATATGATGTTAGCTGTTGATTTGTCATAGACAGCTTTTATCAGATTGAGATAAAGACTATCTATTCCAATTTGCTGTAGGGTTTTTGTCATGAGTGGAAGTTGAACTTTGTCAAGTGTTTCTTTTGCATCTATTGAGACGATCAAGTGCTCTTTGTGTTTGGCTTTAATATGGTGTATTACACTTATTGATTTGCATATGTTGAAACATCCCTGCATCCCTGGGATGAATCCAATTTGGTCATGGTGTGTAATCTTCTTGATTTGCTGCGTTCTGCTTGCCAGTATCTTATTCAAGCTTTTTTTAAAAATCTGTGTTCATTAGGAAGATAGGTCTCTAGTTTTCTTTTTTAGCTGGGTCCTTCTCTGGATTGAGTATTAAGGTAATATTTGCTTCCAGGAATGATTTTGAAAGTATTTCTTCCCTACCAATTTCATTAAAGATTTTCAACATTTGTGGCATTAGTTCTTCTCTCAAATTTTGTAGAATTCAACAGTGGATCCATCAGGACTTTGGCTTTGCTTTATTGGTAAGCTTTTAATTACACTTTCAGTTTACTTGATATTGGGTTATTTATAATTTTTAAATCTTCTTGATCCAGTTTTGGTAATTTATATGTGTCTAGGAATCTTTCCATTTCTTCTGTGTTTTCCATCTTATTAGAGTACAGGTTCTCAAAGCAGGTATTGATGATCATCTGGATTTCTGCAGGATGCATTGTGATTTCCTCCATTTCATTCCTAATTGCTTGAATTTTAATCTTTTCTTTCCTCTTTTTAATGAATTTGATGAAGGGTTTTTTGCTTTTATTTAATTTTTGAAAGAATGAACTCTTTGAATCATTGATTCTTTATATTATTTCTTTGCCTCTATTGCATTGATTTCTGCTTTTTTTTTTTTTTTCCCAGTACTGGAAATCGAACTCACGACCTCATGCTTGCCAGGCAGGCACTGTGCCACTGAGCTAAATCCCCAGCCCCCAACTCTTTATAGTATTATCCCTTGTACAAGCTTTGGATTTGACTTGTTCTTATTTTTCTAGAAGTTCAAGGTTCAATATTAGGTTGTTTCTTTGAGTTCTTTCTGTTTTCCTGAGGTGAGAAGAATTCATCACTACACATTTTCATTGTAGGACTGCTTTCATTGAGTCCTATAAGTTCCAATATGTATTATTGGCATTATTATTTAATTTTAGATACAGTTTAATTTCTTCTTTAATTTTCTCTGTGACACACTGGTTGTTTAGGAGGGTGCTGTTTAGTTTCCTTGTGTGTGTGTAATTATTATTTCTTTTGCTGTTGATTTCCAATTTCATTGCACTATGGTCTGATAATATGGATGGGATGATTTCAATTCCTTTGCGTTTACTTAAGCATGTCTTATGTGTTAATATGTAGTCTATTTTGGAGGACACCCCATGTGCAACTGAAAAGAATGTTTACTCTGATGTTGTACTCTGATGCTGTGGGGTAGAACACTCTGTAGACATCTAATAAGTCTATTCAGATATTTGGTTTAATTCTGGTATTTCTTTGTTCATTTTTTTGTATAGTTGATCTATCTATTTGTGAAAGTGGGGTATTAATGTTCTCCATTACAATTGCATTAGTGCTTATTTGATTTTTCATGTCTGTTAATATTTTTATGTAGTTGGATGTGCTGGTATTTGGTGTATATATCTATTATGATTGTTATCTCTCCTACATGAAATTTTCCCTTAACAAGTATGTAGTGACCTTCTTCGTCTCTTTTGATCAGTCCTGGCTTCATGTTCACTTTGTCTCTGAATAGAATAGCTACTTTTGCTTTTTTTCTGGATTCCTGGGTCATGGAGTATTGTTTTCTATCCTTTGATTTTCATTCTATGAATTTCTTTTTGAGTTAAATGTGCTAGCATATTGTTGGATCTTGCTTCTTGGTCTATTCTGCCGGTCTGTTTCTCTTGATTGGTGAGTTGAAACTGTTTACATTGATACTTAAAGCTGATGTTATTGGCTTGTCCTTGTCCTATTGTTTTCCTGTTGTTGTTTCCCTGGATTTCCCCTCTGTTTATTTACCTCTCCTGCTTTATGACTTCTTTCTGTTGGTGTTCTTTTGGTTGTGGTCTTCATTTTCACTTTCTAATATGTACTTCAGAGCATTTTCAAGAGCTGGCATGGTGGTCATGACTTTCTTTATTCTTTGTCATGGAAGTATCTTGTTTCTCCATTGATTTTGAAAGATAATTTTGTAGGGTACATCAATCTGGGCTGAAGGTACTTTTCTTTTAGGGCTTGAAATACCTCACTGCAAGCTCTTCCTGATTTGAGGGTTTGTGATTAGAAGTCTGCTGTGATTCTTACGGGCTTTCTTTTATAGGTGATATGTTTCTTTTTCTCTAACTGCTTTTAGTATTCTGTTCTTGATTATTATATGCCCTGATGTAGATTTATTTTGGTCATGGCTCTTTGGAGTTCTATATTTTTCATTTATTTGTATGTCAAATTTTTTATCCATGTTTTCTGCCATTTTTTGTGTGAAGCTTTTCTTATATCTTTTACACTGTCTGCAGCTTTCTCACTGACTCCAGTCAATCTTATATTGTTCTTCTTTGGTTCATTTTGTAGCTGTTGGATTGATTTTTCATGGTCTCTTGTTATTTTTAAGGCATCTTTATTTTTCTAGTTGCTAGTCACAATCCTGTCCTCTAGATCTGATAGTCTGTCCTCACTTTTATTTAGTCTGTTGTGTATACTTTCAGTGGAGATTTTAATATCCTAAATTTCTCTTTGGATCTGTTTCGTGGATTCCATTTCTTTCCTGTGCTGGGCATTCATGGTTTACATTGTTTTCCTGCTTTTTTTTCTTAATCTGTGTCTGCTTTAATATTGCTCATTTTGAACATCATTTCTTTTTGCACCTTGGGGATTATTATTCTTTCTATAGCCTCTTCCATTTGTTTTTTCACTTCTGTTGCTATCATTTCAGAAAGTTCCAGTGGTTGGCTTTGCATTTCCTCATCTCATTGTGCTCTGGATGGTCCTAGGTGGGCTGGGGTGTGGAGGTGCATTTTACTTCTGCATCTTGTCATTTTCTATACTGTGTATTTTTTATTTTATTTGGTTTTCTGTGTTAGTACTTGTAGATTTTTTTTATGGTAGAAGCATTATCCCTAGTACTGAGGCTTCCCTAGGAAATATCTGTTCCTCAGGGATGACTTCTAGGTATAGGTAGTTCTTGGTGTTTGTGTCTATCCTAAGAATCTATATTCCCAATGGAGTAAGGATAAGAAATGTGTTATATATGTTACTCAGGAGCCAGTCTTTTGGTACTGTGCTATGGTGTTGGTAATGCTGCCATACCATCACAGTGCTGTCATACAGCAAAGAAAAACTGATTACAACACATATGAAATCCCAGCCAAAGTGGTACACTTAGCAATAACAATAGTCTTAGCACAGCCTGGCTACTGAAAAACTGTGGAAACTATTAATCTGGTACCTTTAACCATAGGAGCAAATTCCAGTTATATAACAGAATCCATCATATACCAGGAACTTGTATGCAATGTCTTTTCCTTTAGTGGAAGATTTTACCCTGTTGTGGGGAAGATGGGAATTAAGGGAATAGGGGGCAAGATAGAGAGATAAATGAGGTAGAATGTAGTAGGAGCAAGGCCAGAGGGCAAAGGATGATCACCAAGTTTTGGGAAACTGGAGGACACAGGAGGGAAAGAATGGAAGAGAAATCAAAGGAGTATAGAAGTGAAACAGAAAGAGAAGAGACCATGTTTACTCACAGGAAAGTATTATAAATTCAAGCAAGATAGTGGAGGAAAGAGAGGAAGATGAGTAGAAGAAAACAAAAAGGAAGGTTATAAATCTAAGTCATGAGAAAAAAAAGAGAGAACAATAAGAGATAAAAACAGAAAACAAAAATAACCATAAAAAAAAAAAAAACTAAACTAAACAAAAAAAAAGACCCCAACTGGACAGAAAAGGAAAATCAGTAACCAAGCACAGACAAACAAACATAGTAAAATTCCTCCGGCGTTCACAGTTCTGCGGTAGGTCCACATTGGATCCCAGAAATGTGTTGTGTAGTCCAGCCAAGGATGCAGTGGAATTTGCTGGGAATAGGGCTGATCTTGGCCTTTGGAGGTGGGGCTGGGACTGGTGTTCTGTTGCTGTCATTCAAAGAGCCCTTTGATTAAAAAAATGGCGGCCCTACCCTCCCTCATCTGCCTTAGTGTCTGTGTGCCCAAGGCCCAGTACTGGTTCACCTAACTTACCAGCTGTGGTTGTGTGTGCCCTTCCCACTGGGGCCTTGGTGGGTCGCTGGGGCTTCCCTCCTGCCTGCAGTTTTTAAAATTATGATGAAATCCCCAATTTGATCAAATGTCTTACTAAATGATTTGGTTATGTAAATAGAGTAAATCAATTGTCTTGCTGTTGTATTCACATTGTAAATAAATAGAGTCTATGCCAAGAGAAGAATCTCCCCTGGAGCCCAGATCTTCTGCAATATGAACTTCCCTACGCACAGGCTCAACTGCCAAGCACCTACTCCTCTCCATGCTCTGAGCCCTAACCTTCCAACTGCTCTTCAACCAGAAGAAATTCCACATTCCTTCTTGGAAAAGGGCTTGCTTTGAATTATATTAAAACTTTTCATTTGATGATGCAGACAAAAATCATGTAGACACTTCTACATGATTCATTTTCTTTTTCGTAGTCTTCACTAACTCCCACTTCTCCTCTTATGCCTCCAGTTCAAGCAGAACACCATGGATGGCAACAGGACGTTTTCCAGTGACTTCACCCTGGTGGGGCTCTTCGCTCACAGTACAGCCTCAGGATTCCTGTTCGGTGTCATTGGCGCCATCTTCCTGACGGCCATGGTGGCTAACGGGCTCCTGATCTTCCTGAGCCACAGGGACGCGCTCCTCCACACGCCCATGTACTTCCTGCTCAGCCACCTCTCCCTCATCGACATGCTGTACATCTCCACCATCGTGCCCAAGGCCTTGGTTGACTACCTTGTGGGCAAGGGCACCATCTCCTTCACAGGCTGCACCACTCAGTACTTTCTCTACATGGGCTTTGTGGGGGCCGAGTTCTTCCTGCTGGGCCTCATGGCCTACGACCGCTACGTGGCCGTGTGCAGGCCGTTGCGCTACCCGGTGCTCATGAGCCGCAGGGTCTGCTGGCTGATCGTGGCCAGCTCTTGGTTTGGCGGTGCACTGGACAGCCTCCTGCTCACTCCCCTCACCATGAGCCTCCCTTTTTGTGCCTCACACACTATCAACCACTTCTTCTGCGAGGCCCCCACCATGCTGAGGCTGGCCTGTGGCCGCAAGGCCGCCTATGAAACGGTGATGTACGCCTGCTGCGTCCTGATGCTGCTGGCCCCCTTCTCCGTGGTGACCACGTCCTACACACGCGTCCTCATTGCCGTGCAGCACATGAAGTCCGCAGGAGGGAAGAGGAAGGCCCTGGCCACCTGCTCCTCACACATGATTGTGGTGACGCTGTTCTACGGGGCCGCCGTGTACACTTATGTGCTGCCCCGGTCCTACCACACCCCACTCCAGGACAAGGTCTTCTCCGCCTTCTACACCATCCTCACGCCCGTGCTCAACCCGCTCATCTACAGCCTGAGGAACAGGGACGTGCAGCAAGCCTGCAGCAGGGTGTTAGGCAGGAATCGAGGGCCTGCCGTGTGACACGGAGGGTGTGTGACAGCTCCTCCTGTCCGAGGCACTCGGGCCTCCGCCGGGAACCATGAGGCCAACAGTGCAAGCAGCTGCCAGTGCCGAGGGTACATCGGCTCCAGCAGGATGGGGAACTAATCCTGACATTCCCACACGACTATGCCAGGCTTCCATAAACACAACTGGTATTTTTCTTTCGTTCTGCTTTCAATTCTCTGTCGTACTAGTTCTCTGATTAGAGTTCCTCCGTGTGAGTGTCCCTGAAACATCTGGCCTGATCATCTGATTCCCTCAGCGTAGCTGGTGATTCAGATTATATTGTTCTACCTGTCCATTCATAGGGTTTGCGGAGCATTTGGGGATATCGACATCTGAGACAGTTGAAAGGAATAAAGCATCATAAAACTAAAAATACATGCATAGAATAACATAGGGGTTTTGAAAACTCTTACAATTGCTTATTTGAGAAGGAATTAAAAAGATTCCTCCTTTGAATTTGGAAATGAAAATGAGTCATGTGTTTTGCAGAAATCCAAAAACTATTTTTCATGGGGCAGACTCAGTGATGTTTTCTTTGTTATGGGACAAATAATGATTACATTAGAAGTCATGGTGAGAAAGAAATGCCTCTTTTATTAGCAATTTCCATAGTTAGGTTTTGCTTCTTTTCTGGTCAGCTAGAACCACTGGCCCTCTGGAAGCTCCCTGTGGCTGTAACTGGTGGACAGCTGTGTCCATCCTCCTCTGCCCTTGGGGGAACAGGGCGCTGCGCCTTTCCTCTCTACAGCGCTGGGTTTTGTTCTGGGTGACCTTACCAAGTGAGAAACACACAGCCCGCTCTGCAGCAGCTGTGTGAGCTGGAAAGCCGTTTGTGAGTGATTTGGTATCATTTCTTCAGGAAGCTGAGAGCTGGAGAAGACCATTCGGCTGAATGGTGGACTCGGTCATGAAAACCAGGGTCACACGTGGGCCCTCCCACGGTGCTAATCCAGGCTGTGTTCCCGCCCACGTGACAGAACCCAGGAGCACTGCAGTCACTGCACACGGGCAGGGCAATTAAACACAGCCTTGCCCCTCTTACTCTGCAGAGTCTGCCAGCTGATAGGATCTTCGCCCAGGGACACTGGCATGGAGCAGGGTCCCACGGAGAGGCGTCCTTCTACAGGAGACCACACTGCTGGAGTCTCCCTGACGGGGCTCATCAGGTGCAGCCGGAAGCAGACTTCCTGGGGATTTCTACCGAGAGAAGTCTTCTTTCTTTCTATCCCGACACACTGGCTTAGCGACGTCGGGATGTCGGCAAGAGCGGCTCCAACCCAGCGCGAGGCCCCGAGACCGAGAAGAAGCGGCGCTAGGCAGCGCCGCGCACAGGTTTCGGAGGCCGTGCGCCTGCTGACCCCACGTTTCTAAGGCCACGCTCCCGTTCTGTGACGTGTGAGTTAATACACATTGTTTCTTGTAAGAGTTTTACAGATCAAGTGCGCGATAGGTGTATAAAGTCACTACAAATACCAGTAATTGTTTAGCCCTTCCTAAGGAAGATGGTTTTCTCCACGTGCACGATATTCTGCTCCAGTTTTCCCACGTGTTTTTCCTCCCGTCCCTCGCACACGTCAGGGTGCGCCTGGCACAGACAACCGAACTCGAGCTGGAAGCGCGTCCCTGTAGACAGGCGGCTTCCAGGGCCAGCACAGCCTCGCTGCGCCCCTTCCTGGCCCGCTCGGTGCAGGGCAGTGGGGCCTGGCGCTGGGGCCCCTGCACCTCTCCGGCTGCCAGCAGACCCTCTCGTCCCCTCTCTGCGTTAAGGGGCGCTTTGGATCGGCCAGGGGCGCAGAGGAGCTTGAGGAGAGCAGACTTGACGTCGCGGGACACAGCCGTGTGCACTGACAATGATTTTAATCAGAATGCTTTAAAAGCAGAGAGCGTGGGCCGGTCTTTATCCTGCGTGCTGTCGGACACTGGCGGCCCTGTGAGCGTCACCGGGAGCTGCGGGCCTGTGTAGGGCACCTTGGGGAGGCAGCTCCAAGCAGAGCATACCCACACGAGAGGGAGGATGCAAGGCCAGTCTCTGGGGCCTGCTGCCCCAGGGGAACCGACCGGGAACTGCTGGCAGAAAGGCCTGGACGCCGCGGAGGAGGGCGCTGCCCTGTGAGGGTGTGAGCAGGGCTGGCCTGGGTGTGATGGCCTGGGTGTGAGGAGAGCTGGCCTGGGCGTGAGCAGGGCTGGCCTGGGTGTGACGGCCTGGGTGTGAGCGGCCGCGTGTGCTCGCGCTTCCCCGGCTGTGTCCGGCCGCACCTGCGAGCCCGCCGGGCAGAGGCACGGGGTGCTTCCAGGGACCTGCAGCAGCCCCCCTGTCCCCGTCCTCTGCGTGCGCACGGGGTGGGCGGAGGCTGCCGGGGGTCCCGGGAAGGGACTCTGAACCATGAGTTAACTAAGAACAGAAATTCACAGGAAAAGAGAAAAATGCATTCCCTAACACTGCAACAAAAGAAGAATGAGCCGGCCCTATGCATCAGTTAGAACGACCGAAGTTAAAACTTCTGACAATGCGAAAACTAGTAAAATACGGAAACTCTCGCTCGCTGCTGGCGGGATGCAAAGTAGTGTATTTTCTCCTCCTAGGAGAAAAACCGCAAAGCTCTTTACAAAGTGAAACGCGGTCTTAACTGCTGCAGTCGCGAGCCCTACTGATCGGGGCTCCGTGTTCACAGGGAAATCAGCGTGAGGGTGACCCCGGCCCTGGCTGCAGACCCCGGAGCTCGAAATCCCCTCTGACGCTGTGGTCACCGGTGCGTCCCCTGGAGCGGACCCTGCCGCGGACCCTGCAGCGGCTGTGCGGCAGTCAGCACCCTACTCTCGCTAACTTAGCTTGTACCTCTGGGGGGAAATTTAGGATCCTTTAACAGATCTACACAGGGTCAGAGCACTGATTAAAGATTCAAACAATAGCTTTCCATCTTACAGTTTTACGAAGTGTTAATGAGCACAAATTTATTACCTGATATAAAAGTGCATCTCATTCATACAACAACAAAATGCTTATCCAGCTGAAGTTAACAGATTTACACCAGGGTTTAAATGGCAAGCAAGACTGCTCAAAAGGCAGTTTTTTTCCCCTATCTAAATGGTACCAAGTACAAATGGCCGAAATAGTGAAATTTTTACTTATCAATTTACGTTAAAGGTTCAGATGAGATGCATTTGTATAAAAGAGAACATTTACTGACTACCTTCTGTATATGAAAGTTGTGTAACCTCAGCTGTGCTAGATATAGACTTTTCAACATTCTGACAAAGTGGGGTGTGGTGGCACATGCCTGTAATCCCGGTACTCGGGAGGCTGAGGCAGGAGGACTGTTGCGAGTTCGAGGCCAGCCTGGGCTACAAAGTGAGCTCAAGGTCAGCCTGAACTGCATAGCGAGACCCTGTTTCAAAAAGACAGAAACAAAAACATTCTGACAAAGATCAGAGTCACAGCGTACTTAGCCCTCAGATGAATACGTCTCAGGCACCACGTGTGTAGGTGTACTATAATAACCTAATAGTTGTTCACTTAAGCAGTTATATACTGCTCATTTGAATGACTGCAAAAATCCCAGGTTTAAATATATCCTAGCTGTTGAGACTCAGTTCCCTAAGTAATTAAAAGTCTGACAGTAGGAAACACACATACGCAAGTATTTTGATAAAACATAAAACCTTGTTCTTTTAAGTTGTTTTACACAAATGTATTAAGCTTTTTTTGAAAAGGAAAAAGAATCCATTAGGGGCTGGGGATTTAGCTCAGCGGCAAAGTGCCTGCCTGGCAAGCACAAGGTCGTGAGTTCGGTTCCCGGTACCGGAGAAAAACCAAAAACCAAAAAAAAAAAAAAAAAAAAGAATCCAGGTGTGGTGGCACGTGCCTCTAATTCCAGAATTCTGGGAGGCTGAGGAGGGAAGATCACAAGTTTGAGCTGAAGGCAATTGTTCAATTTAATGAGACTTGGTAGCATTGCTTCATGGGTCCAGTGCAGATCCCTCAGCCTGCTGGCACAGATTTTTCATTCCACTGATTAAGATTTTCTAGCTTCCACCAATGGACCTTTGGGCCTCCCCACTGCAGATCCTTAATACAGACTTGTATGAGACATTGTCATGTGCTCTTGGTCTCTAGTTGGACTTGTGGAGGACATTGCCATGGGCTCCAGATCTTGAACTGGACTTGTGCAGGACATTGCTGTGAGATCCAGGTAATCAGCTAGATTCTTTGGGTCTCTACTGTGGACAGATTTCCACTCTTCTGCATTTGATTTTTTGGTTATATTACAAAATAATCCTATAAGTTATGTGTCCTATATTGAATTTATTCCCGTGCAAACCCCGACTATAACATCTTATATCCTTTTCTTCTTCTCTGCCTAAAAAGGGTCTTTCCAAGGATGTGAAGTTTGGGGCTTTACATCTCTCCAGAGATTAGCTTAGGTTGCTTTCATGCGGGAGAGCACATTTGCCTGGAACGCAGCCCTTGCCTATTGGGCAATCCCCCCCGCCCCCCAGAGTCTATGAGGTCAGAGACAGCCATGAAGACAAAGGGCAGGTGCCTCCTGGTCTTCGGCTCAGCACCTGCTGCCCACTAGAGTGTGGCGTGTGCTCCTCACTCTTCCAAACAAGTTTACCAACTTCAAAATCCAGGTGCTGTGTGTCTGGCTTATTTCACTCAACATTGTATTTTCCCAGCGCATCCATCTTCCTACATACGTCTCAAATCAGTCTTTTATCATGCAGTAGTATTCTGTTAAGTTCAAACAGAGAACAGTGAAGGATGGGTGGAAGGGGACAAGGGGACGGATCTCTTGCAACAGGAAAGTGGTCCAGGGGAAAGCGAGAGGGTGAGGAGCAGGGAAGGGGAAGTGAGCAGACCACACATATCCCATGTACAAGAACCCAGAAACCTCACTTGGTGTAAACATTATATGCCATAACATGAGCTTCGATTGGTAATATCATAAGAATAACAAATGGGAGAGGGGAACAGGAGGGGGAGGGAGGGAGGGGCAGGGAGGAAAAAGATGACAAAAAAAAACCCAAGTGTGTCCATGTACCCACTCCCTGAGATGATTGTAAACTGGATGGACTGCAACACATACTGGCAAAATAAAAAATTAAAACACAAGCTCATGATTGTACAGCCAGAATGTCCTTGGCATAGCTTCCTCTGGGATAAAGTACATAAGAAAATAAAACTGTTGGGGATGTTCTTGAGATTAAATAGGGGAAGTGAACATCTAAAGGTCAATTTTTAAAGCCATATTTTTCAAATGCAAATTTCATCCTAAGCCTAAG